CAGTTTAATGTGCCACCATCAACGAGTGCATCACCTATGGCACTGTTTGTTCTTTCTGCCTCATTTTGGCCTGAGTCTCCTCTTGATCTGTGCAATCGTATGTAGTAGTCAATATTCCACATACGACATATTTCCATAGCTCTGATTTGGACATCAAAATTGGAAACAGAAACACCAGGTCCTGCATCAGTTAACTCTGCCCATCTTGGTTTTATCATTGGCAAACCAATATCCTCGATTCTTTCAATTGTTTTATCAGCTAAGATTGTAATGCCAGTTGTTCGCAGGAAATGATAACGTCTTCTCTGCTATCCCGAGAATCACTAAGTAAATCAACACATTTCTTGACAGTTTCCTGGATTTCAGATATCAGAGGCACTAATCTGTTAGACAACATGGTAAGATTAGGTTCAGACTTGTTCTGTGCTGCATGAAGTTGTTCATTAGCTTTTGAAAGATGGTGTTGTAGGTGATTTAGTCTATCCACTTCATATTGCTTGTGTCTGCAATTATCATCTGTTGTATCAATCATTTCAAGATCCTTTCTTTCACTCATATCCTTGTATTGGAAAAGGATGTCATGACATGTCCTGATGAAATTTCTAGAGCTCACATCAAGGCCTTTGTTAAAAAAAAGGTTTTCCCATATTGATGCGACAACATCTGAAAAGAAGAGGAAACAACGCAGGGCAAAAGAACACAGAAAGAAAAAGAAAAAAAGCAAACAAAAGAGAGCACTAAAACAAGCTACAAAAATTCTACATTCTTGTGACATTGACAAAACAGTCATTGACTTAATCATGGCAGGGGAAAAGACGGTGCTAAAGCTAAAAGATTTTAATCTTGTATCATTAAAATTATCGCCAAAGCTGCACTTACAAGGAATAACATACCTTATAGAAAGCAAGTGCTTAGATGTTGATGCTGAGAAACAATTTAGGACATTTGAGGATATACTCACTACAAGGAGAGATATGCAAACCAAAGCAGCTAGTTCTCATCAGGATATAGAAGAGATTCATGACAATCTTGGTGTTCAGACTGATGATGGTCGAAGTGATAATGATGATGATTATAGTACTGGGCAGGAAAGTGATGAAGAGGATGTTGTTTTTAATTAGAATGATATAACAAGTTAGTGTTTTATAATCATTATTGATCTCAAAATATAAGTTCACAGTTCAGTTGAGTTCTTTTAATTATACATGATATTATATTTGTTTATAGAATACAAGATATTGTAAAAAATGTTATAGATTATTATTTATATTTAAAACTATGTTCACAGCTAATATATTATTTAAAGAAAATATTCTATGTTTCTATCATTGTTATTGTTGGAATATTAAAAATGAATAATGAATGTTTGATGATTAATACATTTACGAGGCAGCACCGTCATGATATCAAAAATGTTGTTCTGTTTGGTTTATCTATTTATTTTTTTCATTTCGGGTCCCCCCCTTAAGATATTTTTTTTATTTTCAAATACCCCCCTTTTATACCTAAAATTTTTTCGGAGACCCCCCAATTTCTCATCAGTCCCCCCCCCAACAAGTATTTGTGAATGCTCCCTTACTTGGAATCAGAAGCTAGAGACCTGAAAATCTTTACCAAACATAACTACAATATTCCCATGTACGAGGGAAATACTTCACAATAAATGCAAACTTGGAGTAGAACTTTATAATACATTATTTCTATAGGTCCTTAAGAGACTTGTTATTTATTTCAGCTTTATGGAGAAAACATCATCATAGTTACTTATTTTGTTACTACTATGTATACTGTACACTGCAGTTATAACGATTGTCTGGCCAGCAGCTGATGTATAAAGCTAAGGCTAAATGGAGAACAATTCATTCTGTTCATTCTAATGTAAAAAAATGCTTGAAATGGATCAAGATGTGCGGACGAAAGCACTAAGTGCTAAATAATTTAGTCCTCTCTATGGAACTTTCTCAGATATGCTTTAAATTTTTTTAACAGAAACAGAAATATTATAGGGAATTTTACCTAAAAATCGTCGGAAGACTGTGTTATTTACGAAAACTCAAAAGCATTTGTGGACAAGCAAGACAAGCCGCGAGCGTTCGATTCCCGCGCTTTCTTCAGATT